ATTATATTATTATTAGAAAGTAATATTCTATTGTTAGGATATTTGTTACCATTTATAATTAGGATTCCTAGATTATTTAGTTTCCTTCTATGGTAAGGATTCTTTAGATGTCTTACCTATAAATGTATCCATTTCAATGAATTATTTATCAATGAATAAAGAAAATACTTTCTTCTAAACCTTAATCTCTCTCTTTCTCGCCTCTTTTGTTCTTGGAGCTCGAAGGTGCTCGAAATTCTTCCCTATCCCGATACGATACCGTATCAACCGTCCCGTAGACAGTCCACTGACTTTGGCTTCGTTTTGATCCGTTTTGTGAACTTAACGCCTTGATTATTTTTAGAAAAATAATGTTAACATTTATGAATATATTCCTAGTGATTCCTAGGCCAATATATACGATTTTTATGTAGTGAACGTTTTGATGGCTAACCTACGAACATGCATAGATTCTACGTAGGTTGCGTACGATATTCCTATGAATATAAAAACATAGATTATAACTTGATGTTCTAGAATTATAGGGGACAACTACTCACCTCTAAATGAAGGGGTTGACGAAACGATGAGACGAGATGAGCAAACGGTTGACAACGTTGAACGACCACGACGATCGGACAAACTTCTTGTGTGACCTTCCTTCCTCTACCTCCCCGTCTACTCGCTGGAATCTCTCCTCGCCTGGCTGCCTTGGTTGGCCGAACAAGAGAAGGGAAAGGGGAGGGTTGAGTGTGTGAGGGGAGTTACAAATGTGGTGGAGGAGGTGAGGGGAAGGGACTAATATAATGGTGGTGGAGTAATGAATAATAATGGAGAATTAAGATGAAGAAAATGAATGGGTGGTGGTGGCGTGTGATTCATAATTTGGGGAGTTACCTCCCTAAATTCCACTCTGTTGTGTAGAATCTGTTCTGAACGGTACGCAGTTTTCCCCCGAACGGGTCCGAATTAAGATCCGTTTGTGTTTCTGGAATCAGACAGTTAAAACGAATTTAATGACATGTTCAAATAGTTTTTCTAAAAACTTTATTTTCAAACTTCCGAGTCCACCCCAATCATTAATTAATTTATTTATTTAATTAATGTTGAGAGGTCCGTCATTAAAACATCTTTTTATATTTAAAACACATTAACTTTTGAAAAGCCATTTAAAGAGATCGAAATCTCAATATTTATTAATTTAAAATAACGAGTCTCAATAAATAAATAATATTTATTTATTTAAAACTAGGCCGGTTTGAGGGCGTTACACCATTGTTATGGAGAGCTAGATGCTCAATGAGAAATAGAAAGATTGAATGAGAAATAGAAAAGTGGGAATGTGAGGAGTTGTGGTGTTGGTGAATCAGAGAATGGCGTATTATTTATACTATCAGGATTTGTGAGATTGGTACATGATATAATGTTGGATTTGACACAAAGTTACTTTTTCATCTACTTTATGGAGCCACTCAATTTTTTCCCAAAGCAAGTTTATTGAACTACAAAAAATAACTTTATGGAACCACTAAATTTTTGTTCGCCAATGCAACTTTATGGAAAAACTAAATTGAATAGACATAAAGTAATTGCATTGAGCCCAACACCACGCCAGTCGTATTACGCAGCCCCATAAAGATGCACCGCAGCCCCATAAACTGTCAGCCGCATGCCCAAAAGAAGACCAGAAAAATCGGCCCATTAACATTAGCCCAGTCCGGCCCAAGTGATGGAGGAGAAAATGGCGGGAACGCTGTTCATAAGCTTCTCTTAGCATTGTATATAGGAAGATGACTAACACAATAATAATGATTATGAGAGTAATTCATGATTCTGACCAGAGATAATATCAATATGCTATGGTTGTCGTGTACGACTTCAGTTGACAAACGACAAAATAGTAGCGACATATGGCATTGGCTATGAAAAAGAAGTATATATGATAAATTTATACGTTTAGCCTCAATTTAACATCTGCATGACTAAAAGTCAAAAAAAGTATTGTCCAAAGAATGGTCACAGACATAATATTTTTAATAGAAAATTAAATATGCAAAAAACTTTGTTATAATGGACTAGTTATAAAATTTACTCAAGGTTTTTCAACGCTTAAATAGCCCTCTCTTCGTTATAATTAGTCTTTAATAGCACGAGGTTTCTGTATTTAGTCTTCTATCATAAACATTACGCCCGAAGTCTTTTTATAAATAAACACATTTTCACAAATAGTGTTCTCTAACTCTGTCATATTATTGTATTAATTTGAGGCAAAAAGTATAATTTCACAATGATCATATATATCTTTCTCGTCATACCTAATGCAAATGTCATTTTCGATGTGTTGTTTGTCAACTAGTGATGTTGTCTACTTCAATCATATTTTACAGATGTCATCTCTAATCATAACCTTAGTCCATAATCATAGTCATTATTATTGTATTGTTTATCAAGCCGACATTAGAATACGTCAGTGGACATAGAGGTAGTGTGAAATTACATTCTTTGCCTTCAAGTTAACACTAGTAGAATTTAATCCCACCAATTACTAATCTCACACAATTTTTTAGATAACTATAGAAATAATATTGAATAAAAGACAAGAGTATTGAACTCCATAACTAAAAAAAGAACTTCCTCCAATCAAAATCCTTCGGGGTATTTATAGCTCCTTAAGCTTCATAATCAAGTTAGACTTCTCTTATGAAACTCAGGTAAGTCTTTCCCTAAGTAACTAACCCTGATCACACTTGTTTCAGCCCATTAAGGCTACCTTTCGGCCAAAATGGGTTTAACACATCAATCCGCCCTGGGTTTTGCTCATCGAGTCTGGGCCTTGGTGCCAGGTTGATTAATTAAGATATATATATATATATATATATATATATATATATATATATATATATATATATATATATATATATATATATATATATAAGGCTAATTACATTAATACTTACTCTTTGGCCCAATCTACCCATCACAAGCCCTTTAGTTTCTTGTGTGGGATGACCATTGAGATATTACAATTGCCAATCAAAATTGCTAACAATAATGTTGTTGATCCTCTCGGATATTGAGCCGACAACCTGCCTCAAACACATCACCCAAGTGACTCACCCGATTCCTGTAGTCACATTCCTTCAAACCCAAAATGCATCTTGCTTTTTTACTGCACCTTCTTGAGAAATCAATGAGAATCTTATTTTTTAACCATGTTTTTTTACTGTCAATGCTCATACTAAAGGTGCAATCTTTTCAAGACATTCTTTTCATGGGCAATTCTCGCCCTTAGCTCTAAATAGAAGGATCTTGTCCTTGTTCTCTTACTATCAAGCGATGGATTTTCTCTATGTCTCATTTTCATTTTTTCTCTTATTCTTTTTTCTTTAGATGGAGGAAACCACCTCCCTCTCCAGGTTGAACTTAAGGCTAGATTAAACTTGCAACAAGACTCTATCACCCTTCCAGTTTCATACCGTGTCAAGAATGGTGCACTGCAAAGACTCATTAAATCTGCTAATGCATCTTGGTGCTTACACCGGACGATAAGGGCTAGTCTCTGGTCTTGGACCTCAATCGGCCTCCCTCTTTTGCACGATATCATATCTAATGAAAATAGACATGTGCATAGGATAGCATTCGGCAGCTAAGATCAAGGTAGCACCTTACAGTCCAAGCTGTTAAACCTGTCGCCCCTAGTTGTGCAAACTTTACTTGAGTGACAGACGTCTCCCTCCATTACCTTGCGCAATGTTGGGAATTTTTATTTTTTAAGTATGTTGACAACCTATTTTAAGGAACTCGAAATTGGTTGTTGTTGTGGTCAGATGTCATTTTGAATGTATAAATTTTATTTTTTTCTATACTAATGTATAAATAAAATGAATTGAAAAAACATGATATTTTACCTCGAGAATACAAGTGTGAAAAATGTTTAGAGATGGACGGAGCAATAAAGGTAAAATGTTGCAGTATTTAATCCATCAAATTGATTAGTCTGTCTAGAGTTATCAAATTGAAACTATGTAAAAGCCGTCAGCAACCAGGTGAACATAACCGGCTTTAGCTCAGTTGGCAGAGTGATGGATTGAGGCCTGGCGTGTGACGTTCGGAACCGAAGTATCGGGTGTTCAAAGGCAATCCATAGGTCGCTGGATCGAGACCAGCAAGCTGGATTCCTTTTTTTTAAATGTAGTAATTTTTTACTTCAAGAGGATTTTTTTACCGGTAGTAAATTTTAACTTCAACCTATCTGGACATTAATCGGATGGCTTTACCTTTTTATAGGGTTAGGGTTAGATCGTTGAAAGGCCAGAGGTGAAAGATGTCGGAGCGCCACCACTTGCCGGAGGAAATCCTGATCGAAATCCTCACCCGTCTCCCCGTCAGGTCCCTCGTACGCTTCACCGCCGTTTCCAAGTCGTGGTTCTTCTTCATCACCAGCCCCGCCTTCGTCTCCGCCCACCTCCGCCACTCCCGCTGCAAAGGTAATTCCGCCGGTATCCTCCTCTTCCTCCGACGTTTCGAGAATTCATCCAAAAAGGAAAAGTATGAAATACTCGACGAATCTGATCACCAGACACTTACCCCGATCAGCTCTCCCCAGCTCTGTCCCCCAATTGCTTGCAAGGTCGGGTATTTTCGTGTGGTTGGCTGCTACAACGGCGTCGTTTGCTTATCAGACGATTTGTATAGCGATTCGTATGCTATGTACCTTTGGAACCCTTGGATTCAGAAGTTTAAGACGTTACCGCCTCCTACTATTAGACCGGCTTGGCCTTTTACCTCCACACTTGGATTTGGTGTTAATCCTCAGTGTGTTGATGATCTCAAGGTAGTCAGAGCCGTGTTTGGAAGGAATGAAGAGTATCAGGGAATACCCGATGTCCCACCAGATGTTGAGATTTATTCGCTCAGAACTGGGAAATGGAGAAGGATATCGGCTGCTGGGGTGAATCTTTATATGATCAATTTCATCTGGTCTCAGGCTTTTGCCCATGGAGCAGTGCATTGGATTGGGTACAAATGTTTGGAGAATGAAATGTTCAAGTGTTCTATAGCAGTTTTCACCTTGGCTAATGAGGTTTTTAGTGAAATTATGCTGTCAGATGAATTGGCCAGTGGGGTTGATGGATCAAGCTTGAATATTATGACATTTGGTGAATCTATTGTTGTTGCTAAGTATGGTGAAGCGATTCGTGGTGCTTACTGTGAGCTGTGGATGATGAAAGAGTACGGAGTTGTGGAATCTTGGTGTAGGCTACATCGTATAGAACTGGTTGAAGGGATGGGAAGAATCGTTGGCTTTAGGGAAAACAGTGACATTTTATTCTCTACCAATGAGGGTGAGCTTGTTTCGTACTGCCCGGATACTGAAGTCGTTAATAAACTTGGAATTTATGGTTCTGTCCGCTCATTGTATGTTGGTAAATACTTGGAATCTCTTGTTCTGCTTCAAGAACACAGCTGCGTTATCAATGGGCTATCTGAAGAAATGACAAGCATGTCGATTTGAACAGGAGATTGAGTTTGCTCATTTGTTTAAAGGGTAAGTTCGTTCTTTAACTTACAACGTATACACACTTTTCATATGTAATTTGCTGAAATTTTTCTCTGCCTCAGGATGATGTTATTAGTGGATATTTAGTTTACTCGTAGAAAAAGGTATGCTCATTCTGTTTCTAAATCAAAGTTCTAAGGATCCCTTTTAATACTAGCTATGCAGTGTGTTTTTCAGTCACTTAGGTTGAGAGTGTATGGGTCATTCACTAAAGTCCTAGGCTGCACACAAGATTTATATGCTGAGTAGAAGGTAATATCTCGACCTTAGAAAATTTACCGGGAAAATTCACCTTTAAGTTACGTCATAGTAAAATTATTTGGAGGCATATGGGATCAAGGCAAACTAGAGTATTTTCCTTTCATATACTCCATTTAAATGTAGTATTGTGAACAGAATAAAACATTTGAAACATACTCCATAGAGATAATTAGAAGAACATAAAACAATTTTACAAAATAATATAAATAAAGTACTCGTAAAAAAGAAAACACAAAAGTAGTCAAGCACATCAGCGAAGCTGACTAGCCAAGGTGGGAAGGTGAAGGCATTTGTGATTTCTTATAACTATTTGTAATCATTCCATTAACCTTTCTCTTTGAATTTATCTCATATAGTCAGATGTAGATAGACTTGATAGAGATGTTTATTGAATAAACTCTGACAAGAAAGGTTACATGAATAAGTTCATATAATTCCTATCAGTTCAGTACATTTGTAATTCTTTATGCCTAAAAGTATTGGACATTTACTGAAAACCATCCGTGACGCATGGCATAGCTATAAAAAGAAACGGCCTTAGAGACTTGTATTGGTCCAAAAAATGAAATGTTAGTAATATAATATATAGTTAACTATATATTAAAAAGACATTATTTAGTATTCTTTTGGTCCTGATATTTTCAAAAAATAAATAAAAACTTTTCAATACAAAAAACAAAAATATTTAATTTGACAAATGAAGTATATGTTACATTTTATAGTTCAATTTTTATTTCAAACACAAACTTATAGGTTTGAAAAATAACTTTTCATTACTTCGCACACAAATGCTTTTCTTCTTTCCTTAATGAAAAAAGAAAAAAGAGGGAGCATTGGCGCTCATGTCTCTTGATGATGTTATTTGTGGATATTTAGTTTGTATGCTGATTTTGTTATTAAATCAAAATTCCAAGGACCCCTTTTAAAACGAATTGTGCATTGTGTTTGCGAGTTGATATATATACAACACTTTGATCTGTTTAGTATGAACTTCATCTTGATCAATGATCTGCTTCTTATTCCGAGCAGGTTACGATACAATGTGTCAAGCAGGAGAAAAATACACCGGGCAGTGTGAGGAGTAGCGTTCCACGCCCCTGTAAGAATATCGAAAAATGAAAGGGGATGCAAAGGGAACCACAGCCGTGAAAGAGAAAAACTTACGTGACACTGAGTTGGCAGGAAGAAATGAAGCGCTAGAAGGAAAACCACACCCTTGTTCACAACATATATGTGAACAATAAAACCATTTTGCCACCTATCTTTATTTATAATCAGATCATATGCATTCAATGATCGCACAGTGGTTACACTTTATTCTCTTATTTATCAATGAGTAAACACTAATTAATCACCACATGTGAACTCAACTCTATAAATAGATTCTTGTTGAGAGAGGAAAGACATTCAATTCTACTCATATAAATCAGTACACTCTTGAAAAAGAGTAACACACAATATATTCGGAGATATTTTTTCGGTCTATGTCATCTTTTGTGGTATTTACACTTACATTCGTTATCTCTGTCTCATACCTTTTGAGTTTTGACTAGTCAAGTACGACGATTCTGCCTGGTCACTTCCTACACCCTTAAAATAAAGTAGGGTAAAAATGGGAAAGTAACATCAAAATGACGTACTCTCACCGTCCCATAAAATCCTTCATTTTTTTAAAAAAATGCGCACTTTTAAAATGAATAATTTTGGTATTATTTTCTAATTTTTTTCTCTTATTTTCTACGAGTAATAGAGTAGGATGATATGTGTAAAATAGATGAGTCATAATTAGAAAATAACATCAAAATTACTCATTTGTAAGACACACCTTTTTTCAAATAGGAACGATTTTATGGGACAGAAGGAGTAGTATTTAAATATCACCTTTTTCTAAAGTGATTTTTTCAGACAAAAGGATTGTGATTTTATCTCGAACTATGTAATATAGTTCTATAATTTTTACTACTCATTTCATAAAATATTCTTTAAAATTGTTTGCGAGTGTTAGAGTTTGTTCTTCTAGACGTATTTTTATTAAAATTAGATCATACCAGATCAAATATTAAATATGACTACTATCAGATTAAAAAATATCAGATCAAAATTTATTCCAATCGGATCAGAGTTAATCAAATCAGGTCAAGAGAACAAATCCTTATTTACTCAATTACACTATAGTATCTGTTCATATTTTCTCAAATTAATGATGCACTATGAGTCAATATTTCTACCTCCGTTGGAACTCAAACCTTAAAGTGAGCTTCTCGAAAAATCTTGGGGTGTGAGCTTCCTATTACTCAACACAATGAGAAGCTGGAATACTCTTTAATATAGTTCTACTCATTTGAATATTTGATTATCTCGAACTTTGTAGTGTATCATATGAAACAACATCGGGGTTGTTAAAGCATTGGCAATGGCAAGTTCAAAAATAGAATGACACACGGTGACGTGGAACACTTTAACCAATTAAAAAGAGTCCAGTCAACGTGTGACGAGTGGGTGGAGTGACATGTCATATAGTGGCAAGTAATTGTTTTTGTCATTTTTTACACTTTTATCACATATTTTAATTATAAAAGTTTATTTTACTTTGCCTTTTTTTCATAAAAATATACTCCGTATGTGCTCCTTTTAAAAAAAACCCTTTTTCTACAAATAAAAAAAATAAAAATAAATAAATAAATAAAATAAGAAAAAAAGAAGGAAGAATGCCTCCCACAGGACATGCCTTGCGTGAAGGAATGCACAAGACAATCATGACAAAATAAAAATAGGGTTGATGTGACATGGCGTGGCGGGCATTTGCATTGCCATTACCAATGCTGTATAACATTTTTTTTGAACTTATAATCATAAATTTGATTTTTGATTGAGTTGATTAGTTGATATATGGAGTAGTTCGTATCACACCCAGTCATGGATTTGAACTCAACCCAGTCATGGATTTGAACTCAACTTAACTATAAATATAAAGTTTTACTGTTGTTTGATGACAAATAAAAATGACAAGGCTCGAAGGTGGACATTTATCCCCAAATCACACTGGTCATCTTTGATAGGGTTTGAGCATTGAAGGTCGAAGGTGGAAGTGATGTCAGAGCGCCACCATTTACCGGAAGAAATCCTGATCGAAATCCTGACAAGGCTCCCCGTCAGGTCCCTCGTACGCTTCACCGCCGTTTCCAAGTCGTGGTTCTTCCTCATCACCAGCCCCGCCTTCGTCTCCGCCCACCTCCGCCACTCCCGCTGCAATGATGATCATTCCGTCGGTAACCACCTTCTCATCCGTCATTTAGAAAACTCATCCATAAAGGAAAAGTATGAGATTCTCGAAGAGACTGATCACCAAACACTTAACCCGATCAGTTCTCCCGAGCTCCCCCCTGCATTTGCATGCGAGGATATTCGTGTGGTTGGCTGCTATAGCGGCGTCGTTTGCTTATCCGACGCCTGGTATTGCGATCTGTGTTGTACGTATCTATGGAACCCCTGTATTCAGAAGCTTAAGCCCTTGTCTCCTCCTACTATTATTAGACCAGCTGGCAGTTTAAACGCCTTACTTGGATTTGGTGTTAATCCAGAGTGTGATGGTGATCTCAAGGTAGTCAGAGCTGTGTATCAAAGGAAAGGAGAGTATCTGCAGATGCCCGATGGCCCACCAGATGTTGAGATTTATTTACTCAGCACCGGGAAGTGGAGAACTATATCTGCTGTTGGAGTGAATCTTTATATGATCGATTTCGACCTGTGGTGGTCTCAAACTTTTGTCCATGGAGCCGTACATTGGATTGGGCGGAAATGGGTGGACAATGTGAGGTCCAAGTGTTGTATAACAGTTTTCTCCATGGCTGATGAGGTTTTTAGTGAAATTATGCTGCCAAATAAATTAGCCAAATGGATTGCATTATACTTACATATTATGATGTTTGATGAGTCTATTGCTGTTGCTAAGTATGCTACAAGGAATCATTGCATATTCTGTGACCTGTGGGTGATGAAAGAGTATGGAGTTGTGGAATCTTGGTGCAGGATATATCGTATAGAATTGTTTGGATGGATGGATAGAATTGTTGGATTCAGGAAAAATGGTGACATCTTAATCTGTAGTGAGAATCGCGAGCTTGTTTCCTACTGTCCGACTACTAAATTTTTTCATAAACTTGGAATTTATGGGACCAACCGCTCATTCTTTGTTGGTAAATACTTGGAATCTCTTGTCCTGCTTCAAGAAAAAAGCTGTGAAGTTGATGTGCTATTCAAAGAAATGACAAGTGTGTCCATTTGAAGAGGAGGTTAGAAGATTTGGGTTGGTCGTTTGTTTAAAGGGTAAGTTCGTTCTTTAATTTAGAACATAAACACATTCTCCTCTTCCTTAAATTTTTCTTTCGCTTGTGAATATGTTATTTGTGGATATTGAGTTTACCCGCGGAAAAAGTATGCTTATTTTGTTATTAAATCAAAATTGTAAGGGTCTCTTTTCATACTAGCCATGCTGTTGTTTTTCAGTCACTTAGGTTGAGAGTGTAGGGGGATATACTAAGCCTGTATGGATCACTAAATTCCTAGGTTGCACTAAGACATGTACCGATAACATAGATGAGAATGGGATGACAACAACAGTTCTCAAGATTTTAAGATTATAGGGAATGATACAACAACAAAAAAATTGATTTGATACTCCTAAGTGAATTTCAAAATGTATAATAATGAAGGGTAATCTGGCCATTTAATCATATAGTGGATGGCAAGAATGGAAATGTGAAGATTTTTTGGGGCATTCAAATATAGAAAGGGTGAAGATTAATCTTCATTATTACACAGTTAGAATCTCAAAAAATGCCACTACAATAGTATTAAAATAGCCAAAGTTCAAGGTGCAAAGTATACAAATATATAACTACCACGCACGAGAGCTTCACTCCCAAAATAAAAACAGCACGAATTCATATTTTAAATTTATATTTTGAGTAAAAGGTAGTATCTCTACCCAGGGAAAAGCACCTCTAAGCCATACTCTGTGGTTAAATTATTTGGAGGCATATGGGATCGAGGCAAACTAGAGTATTTGCATTTCATATAACTAGTTATAATGCATTATTGTCAACACACAAAAAACATTTAGATCAGATTAGAAACATCTTTAAATTTAACTAGGTTTAGATCAGACTAGATCACATCACATTAGACCTTAATAAAATTACATTAAAACTAATCAGATTAGACGAAGAAGAGAACAGCTTCTGAAATATCCATAAAAAAGAAAACATGGAAGCAGTCAAGCACAACAGTGAAGCTGACTAGCCATGGATTAATCTGTGATTGCTCATAACTATTTGTAATCATTCCATTACCCATTCTCGCTCAATTTATTTCAGATGTAGATAGGGATGTTTATTGAGTAAACTTTGACCAGAACGGTTACTTGAATAAGAGGTATATGGAATTTTTATGCAACTTTGTGCTGAAAAAACATTTGATATATGCAGAAAAAATCAATGATGCGTTAAATTTAAAAAGAAACTGCATGGGAGACTTGTATCCTCCCGAACACATAGAAGTTAGGCCTCACTTGTCGAGGCTTTAGGTTTTGAGGCACACACCTCAAACACCATTTGAGGGTTACACATATAGTAGTTTCTAACAATGAGCCGTTTTACTTTCAAAAGTATCTGTGAAGTATTGTAACATAATATGACTTGTATTTCTTATTAAAAGATTTATGATGCCCTTTGTTCTAAAAGATCAGTGAAAAAAGAGATTAATGATATCACTTTTTACACTTTTGAAGCTTTAACAAGTAACAACCAACTTTATTTTTTGAGTAATTCTATAATTGGTCCTTTGTAACAAAGGGGTTTTCATAGTTAGTCATCTATTATCAAATATTTCCCCCGTGGTCCTTTTATGGGTGCATTTTCACAAATGGTACTTTTTTGATCTTCTGCCATATTGGTCTTAATTTAAAGGCTAAAAGTATAATTTGACATCAATCTTATGTCCAGTGACGTATTCTGATATTGCTTAAATGGATAACACAAAAAACAATAACTATGATTGTCGTAGAAAGCGACTGTAATTCATATACGACGCATCAAGAGCGGCCTTTGGAATTGTGTATGACAAGAAAGATTATTTTCATTGTGAAATTACTTTTAGCCCTCAAATTAACACCAACATGATAGAAAATATAAAAAAACTATTTGTGGAAAGGTACCTATAAAAGAAGAACCACCTGGGTAATATTTGATAATCGAGGACTAAATAAGGAAACCCCTATGTTATAAAGGACCAATTATGAAATTTACTCTTATTTTTTCCTGATTTCCCAGTTCATTCTTGCTTCTATGTTTTAATAGATTGCACACAATTTAAGTTTATGAAAGAACACATTTACATCTTTGAATGGGCATTATATATTTTTCTTTGTTCTGCACAAACACCTGTGACATTCTCTGAATTAGCTTTTGAACTTCATCATAATCAATGACCTGCTTCTTGTTCCAAACAGGTTACCTTACGATAATGTGTCAAGCAGGAGAAAGTTAATTATCATCTTCTTCCTCAAGAGTACAGCTTGGTTTCAAAATAAAAAATGATGCCGATTGTGTATGGAGACGTGAGATTGGGTCTGCAAAGGATTCTGACGTGATCTTCGTACACCTACTGGGTCAGTTTGTTTTGGTCATGTCTTTGAAATGGCTTTATTAATAGATTTTTCAGTATTAGGTGTTGAATTCTTTTTTCTTAGAACTCTCTTTTATCTTTCATATGTTACAGAGTATGACCAAAATAAAGAGTATCATTATTTACATTCTCATATGATAATGAATATATTATTTATCTGAAACATTTACCTGCGTGGCTATTGATTATTGCAGTGTATGACTTTGTATTTATTTAGTCTCAAGTAACTCATGCATTAATGATGGCTGCCCTTGTAGAGTGACAGTTTTAAGACTGCAAGACCAAAAAATAATAATGCAATAGTAGTCAAAATCATTAAATTGGTTTCTTGATAACATCAAGTCTTACATATAACTCATGCCATAATTGCATATTATCTCTCACTTGTGTAACTCTTATTGAAACTTATAAACTATAAATAACACATTGTTACTGTTAAACCTTGTCATTAGTTCAATGTTTCATCATCCACCAAGCCATGGGAGAACACGATAAAGAACTCGATCTCGGACTTGGACTCGGACTGGGTCGCTACGGGTCAGAGGAGGATCGATTGCCCAACGTTGGCTTTTCTTTGGATCTTTGCCTTCCTTTTCACCCAAGTGACCAAAGTGGGGAGGCTATTTTTGAGAATAGCAAACCATATGAGATCGATGAAGCAGAATGCGAGAATTCTTATGGCAGGAAAAAGTTGAGGTTAAATAAAGAGCAATCGGAATTGCTTGAAGATTGTTTCAAACATCATACAACCCTTACCATGGTATCAACATAATACTTAATTAACCATACATTTTTTTTATAATATCTTGTTTCATTTTTATTATGGTCATGTAAATTATCTCTACATTTTATTTCATATTAAAAGTTTTAAAATATTTCATATGGGATTCTCTTCATTGAAAGATGGAGGGATAAGTAAATTGTGNCCCCCCCCCCCCCCCCCCCCCTTTTCTTTAAAAGTACGAAGTATATATACTTACTGAAAAATAATTTGAGTTTAGAAATTTGTTGAGAAGTTTAAAATGTTTAATTAGAATCTGTTTATTAAAAAATGGTGTAAGAACCTTTCTTTCACTTGAAAATAAATAGAAAAATATACTCCCTCTAACTCAATATATTTGTCCAGTTTGATTTTTCGAATCAAACAGAATGAATTTTGAGCTTCAATAAAAAAATGGTGATATATATAAAATACAAATCGAAGGTAATTGAAGTTTATGCAATTTGACTCGAAATAGTCAAACTAGAAAAAATATTGAAATAGAGGTAGTAATAATTTTATCTTGAATTAGACAAATATCGGACATTATTTTTTAATATGAAAACGTGTAGACTCTGGCTTCAATGCTTTGTTACATGCAAAATAGAGAATACCATTTTTCTTGGTATATCTTAGTTTAAGAGCTTGATTTTCCCATCTTTACATTAGACTAAAATGAACAAACTCTTTGTACATTTCGTGTCCGCCAATGTGTACGCTAAATTATCATTTGACTTATAAAAATTAACAAATGCTTGCCCCACTTACACACAATTGCAGGATCGCAAACTTGAACTTGCAAAAAAGTTGAATCTCAAGCCAAGACAAGTTGAAGTTTGGTTTCAAAACCGAAGAGCAAGGTGACTAACCTCCCTTATTTTCATCAAATCCTCTTCCATTTTTCTCTTATGAAAATTTTAAATGTGATCGCATTTCTACAGAACTAAACTGAAGCAAACGGAGGTCGATTGCAAGCTACTGAAAAAGTATTGCGAGAGTTTAAGCTACGAAAATGCACGGTTGAGAAGAGAGTTACATGAACTACGTTCGAAGCACCCATTTCCGGATGGTCTTACCAAAACTAAGAAGACATTTGTAACTTGTCCATCATGCCAGAAAATGGCAGACACCAGCAATGGCCAAAAGATCAAAACTGAAATGAAGGATTTGGAAGCATAAGACATGCCATAGTTCCACACAGCCCTTGAAAGAAAGAAATATACACAAACACGAGGATTTTTACTTCTTTTGTAACATTCTTGTCCACAAAAATAGGGGACAAGTGAGCCGATTGCAAGAAACCCAATCGGTTTCTTGGCATGGGCAATAAAAAGCTTGTCTTTTTTCTTCTTGTGTACGTTTTATTATGATACAAATACAATGATGCCAATATTAAGGCAGTTTATGTGTTACAACAATTGTACAGGAGGACTGTCCCAACCTAGTCTTTAGTAACCCACCTGCGGCCGCGTATTTGGAAACCACCATAAGTACAATCGCCGCTGCTGTCTCCACCACTCTCACTGGTGTACCCTGACTTTCGGCGTTGTTTCTTTTTCCTAGAGGGTGTTGTCCCACTATCACTTACACTTCCATTCAAAAGAGGATCATCTATCCCACGGATAACCCTCTGGGTTTGAGATGACGATGATGATGTTGATGATGTTGTTGCCACACAACTGTCATCCTTCGCTCTCCTCCCTTTATCATGTTTCATGGTTTGAGAGATCTTATGTAACTTGTCATTGAACTTTGTGAATCCCTTCTCCATTGGTTCCACTGCATGTGTTACAGTGAACTTTACATCCTTCACAATCTGGACCCAACCCAAACATTTGTCACAATGGAATGAAGGAAAGATACATAACGACTGTACGAGTATATGATTATTTCAAAATAAAAAATATGGGAAATGGTCCAAAATACTGTAGACTTTGGCTAAAATTCCAAATATACTTTTTCCCATTACTAAGCTGGCATTAGGGAACATTTCCCCTAAAAATGTAATATCTCAAATATAAAACAAAGGCATCTCAATAAGAAGCATGTCGACTAAGATGTGATTCTTTGGTTTAAGGGGTCCTGTCTTATCAAACATAATTAGTTCTTCATATAATTTGTGAAAAAAGATACGAACAAGTTAAATATGTTAAGTTTAGGTTGACCAGCAAATAATTTATTGCCCACTCGGGGGATTTAACTCAGTAGGTCCTCGTTGTAAAATATTATGATTTTTAAGGGCTTTAACTTGACCAAACATCTTTTTTTTGACATACAAAATTCTAAGCAATAGCAAAAGCTAACTAGATTAGCAAATACCACACCCAACCTTTCTATCAAAGAAACGAGAGGACATACTTACATGTTCACCAGCACCCATGACGACATCTCTAACGCTCTCTCTAATGGTCATGTTCCCTGTACCTTTAACATCAGGATGAGGCAGGCGCAGTTTAGTTGGACGCTCACTGTCTCTAACCTCTTCAGGGTCTATGGGGCAGTCAGCAGACAGGTAGTCTCCTAGTACTGAAACTGCCCCAGAAAAACGCTCGCCCATCAGCTGATATGGTTTAGCAGGAAAAACATACAGGTGGACCACTGAAGCAATGCCCATCTGTACTGGACAATATCACAAGCAAGTCAAACTTATATTAGCAGGAAAAACATACAGATGGGTCTGTTTGGAAGCCAGAAAATACTCCGTACTACGGAAGGAAAATAAATACTCCACAAGAAACTAAGGGAAGAAAATTTGATGGAGGGAATAAAAGTGATATGCTCAAACTCAATAAATTCATTTTAGATATTTGTTCAAACTATGTTTATTTATTTATTTATTTATTTATCTATTATATAAAGACTAAGAAAACTAAATATATGATTGTCTTTCGAAATTTTAATTGTGTTTCATTTTCCTTCTCCTAGCAGTTTCCGTGATCCAAACACTGGTGACCATCCAAAAAATGTATATATGTCCAGCTGAGAACAATTACCTCAATGCATATGATAAAATCCTGAATGCTTGATTGCAACTGTAAAGCTTGGGCGATTGGGCTTTTCAGAATGCCAAGGCTACATAAGAGGGCAATAGCCAACCCTTGCCACCAAGTCAAAAATACAATGGACTTGAATGTCAAAAATTTGTACAGCGGATTGATATGATATAACTCGAACTTTGTAATGGTATAGAACTGAATCAAACAATACAATGCCCATGACTGACTGAAATTTAAAACCACGGCCAAGTAAGGGTATCTGAAAAGGAAAAAAAACACAATCAACATGAAAACCATTATTAATATGCTCGTATTACTAAATGCTACGTAGTAAGAAATAAGCTTTCCATCGTCCGTACCCACAGTTCCACTTGAATTGTCCTTCGCCATAGACATGAAAAGCTTCAAGAATTACTGCTAGAATAGCAGTGAATGCTTTTATTATCATCTGCCAACAAGATTCATTTCTTCACCCATAATTTGCACAATTCAAGAAATAAATTGACAGCTGCCAGTGAGGTATCATATCAAAGAGAGCAAACTTACATATTGAACAATCCCAAACTTGATAACTTCATACACCCATCTATCCAGTTTCCATGGCTTGAGAAAAAAATTAAATGGAAAGGGGTGCTTTACAATTCCCCTCTCATGGCCATCCTCCTCTAGTAGGGGAACCTTTGAACCTGTTTGACCTTCCCTTTCCATAAACTCTAGAGTCCTCTCTTCCCCACCTTTTGCATAATACATAATATGCAGAGTCCAGAGATTATAACAAGATAGTTAATCGGAGTTGGAAGCATGGACCAATAAACATTTCAAATCTAGAAGCGAATATAACAAGAACAATACACGAAACTTTATAGGCATTTGGAATGTTTTTCTTGTTATACATGCCATATCTCAACATTACACAACCATATACAGGGAATCTGGTGCCCAAATATTAAGGATGCATTACACTTTGCCAAACCTTAGCATTGGCATTTATAAAATAAAACTTACAGAAGCAAATATAACAGGCTAACAGTTGTACCTAAACAAGCAACAAGATATCTTCCAAAGCAGTACATTGCGAAGGACTCATATCCATCACGTAATATCTCAAAATAGACACTGATTGCTGGATTCACCAGGGACACAAACTGGAGAAATATAAAACACAATAGTATACATATTAGATGAATGCTCTATCAAATAAAGGGAACAAGATGAATATATTAAACATATTTATCCAAATATCTTTAAGAGGGCTGAAGGTTTCATCATGATAGAGAAAATGATAGGAAAGTCAACACCTAATTAAATGTAATTCCCTGATCAGAAGAATTTCCAGCTATAGCCATTTTGTGCGTTTGTGCGTGTGGATCTAGCACTTAATATAATTTTACAAAGGAAATTAAATAAACATATCTGAAAATATTTGGATGATGCTTAAAACCAATTCTAAGCAAGAAAACACACAAACATGTAAAATACATAACGAATAACAGCACATCTATATCATTAGTTATTTTACAATCCATAGTTCCTTCTAAATATTTGCTTTGAGGGGTTATGCAATGAGAGCTGGAAATGAATCAAATCTTGATATAACGATAACAACAAAAACAAAAATAACAATGTTGTGAACAAAATCCAAATGAAGTCAAACTTGACTCACGGATTCGATAGCATAGCATGGCACCATCAATATCACTCCAATCAAAAACTTTTGCTCCTGCCAACACAAACCAAACACAAAACGTTTACATTCAAAACCAATACAATACAAGCAATGCATATATAACTTCCTAAAATACTGCATTTTAGGAAAAAAACTAAAAAAAAATAAGAAAGAAAGGACCTCAGGATTCTTGTAAGCAGAGAGGTGTTCGAGCAGGAGATGAACAGAAAGGGCGAGAGAGAGAAGCGTGAAGAACCCTCCGATCAGAGTTGCCCATAAAGGCGGCGAGTAGCTGCTCAGCAAGCTGCGCTTCACCCAATCCAAAGTCCAGTGCTCCGATGAAGATGGCACTATGGAGATCAACCACCGCATCAGTGAAGAATTAGGGCTTTTTCCCCCTTCTATTTTGCTAAAGATTGATTAAGAGGACGGAGACGATGATCTGGGTGGGAAACTTGGAATTCAACTCCAACAACTTCCATTAAAAAATGGGGAAAATGCAAAAATAAGGGAAAAGGAAAATGGGCATTTAGAAGAGAACTTTTGTCTCTGGCGACTGGGAAGTCCAACAACAACTTTAGATTTTAGAACCTAAGAGCGTCTAGTAATCATGGTTACTAGTATTTTTTTAACCCGGGTAAGCACGGGACCGAACGAAATTTGTGTCAATTATAAAAAAAATCAACTTTTTAAGATTATATTCTTTTGGACTCTAACTCTTAGGATATATTTGGTTAAAAGAATTTTTGTTAGAAAATCCAGAATCTACTTTTTTTCATGTTAAGTTGCATAAGAAGTAGGAAATCATTTTCTTTGAAAAAATACTTTTTCTAATCGGATAAAATGACTTGTACTTTATATTGGATGAAAACTCATTATTATTCAATACTCAAATATTTTGATTCCTCGATTGAGTTCATTTCCCCAACTACCCCGATCCTCTCCCCACTCCTCTAACCACCCCCTCCCCTCTAGAGAATGAGGAACTATAAAAAAGATTTGAAATTGATCATGTATTAAAAACAAACTATGCCCCCTAAAATTATCTCAAAATATCTTTGTTTTTTATTCAAATATCAACAATGTTTCAATAAAATATGTGGGTGAAAACAAGTATCTAAACACATATTTTACTACAACCCAATGCACCCTTAACTTCTAAAATTTTCCAACCTTTTCTTTTGCTTTACAACTGCTCTTAGTTTTCTTCCTACTCTTTCTAGTTTCATCTAACATCTCTTGGTTCCTTTCAATAGTGATTTGAAAGTTATTTGCATGTATTTTTCTTTCTACTCTTTCTATCAGTTTTGTGAACAGAACACTGCGAGTAATCTAATTAAAGCTAGTGGCAACCATAGCCACCCAAAGTAAGTGGGTGCAGAACCCCTCCATATTATCATCATCATTATCATTATTATTATTATTATTATTATTATTATTATTATTATTACTATTACTATTACTATTATTATTAAAAAAAATGTACGAAGTTAGAAATTTTTTACATGTAAATTCATATACAACGAATAAACAAAAACTTTTTTCATCCAAATTTATAATATAAGACCTCTCAAATAGGCACCAAGATGACTCTTTTTTATCCATATTTGTCTTTTTATACTTTTGTTTCAGTTACTTTTTTTTGTTAAAAATATAGTTTAATTATTTTTTCTTGTCTTATTTAAATGATATTTTTTTTAATCTAAAAAAAATAATGTGTATCATATTTTTTAATCATTATTTCCTTCTCTTTATAGAACAAAAGGAACATCTTATTAATGAAACGTTATTTTTAATTAGGTGACTTTAATGGAAAAGTTTTAAACATTAATTTTTTAAAGCACATTAATTTTAGTTTTATATAATAAATAAAAAATGAAATTCTTTGGAAATGTTCAATAAATATTAATTATTATATTTTTATCATTCTGAAAAAAATTTATCCCTAAAATTTAAATTTTTGGAAGTTCCAAAAAAACCTTATCTATATACTTTATGGATCCATTTCGGGTTTTCAATAAGAGAATTTTTGTATCTTTTTCTCTTTTCATTTCTTTTTTCTATTTTTCTTTTTTTATTTCTTTATTATATTTTTTATTTTATTTATTGAACATACAAAAAATAATTTGTTTATTCTATAAAATATAAAACCGAAAATTTTAAACATTAGATAGAGAAAGTATGTTTTATTTTTTTTTATTTCAATTACAAATCAATTTGGACTTTAAAGCATTGTAAAGAATAATTTAAAAAAAAGAAGTTGAAAAATGATAACAGGCACTGATGCCCATGTGGATTGGAAAATAGGCATCAATGCCCGCTTTTTGACATAAAATGAACAAAAAATAGTATGAACCGAGGCGGTGCGTGTACAATCTTTTGAAATGATAAACATTTTTTTAAAACGGATTTTGAAAACAAATGGTGTTTATTTTTTCAATCCACATGAATACTATTTTAATATATTCTATTTAAAAATACATGTTGTCATTTGGTACTTTAAACGAATTCCGAAGATTATATTTTTTTTTAAACCTCATTTTTTACTATAATATATTTTGTCTATGAAAATGATGTTTCAATTATATTTCACTCAAAAGAATTTTAATATCATTGTTTTATTTATATAAAAAAGACGCAGATTAGTCATAATTCGTTTCTTCTCTATTAATAATTCATTTAATATTTCTTGAAAACTATAACTTTTATTTCATTTATATAATTTTCATTAAGTTCAAAAGTCCATGATTATTTTAATATAAAATATATAATATTAATTTTTAAACTCGTCAAATTTAAAAGTTTATCATAAATTGTTTTTTCATAAATGATGATTGAGAATCTAAAGCATGCCATGTAATTTATTCTAATGTCGTGTTATTTAAAATTTGCGATGTAAGACGACACATGTCAACATTTTAGAGACACGAGTCTCAAATATTATCGTAAAAGATTGGAAACTACCAAGTTCTTCAAAAATGGTGTTCAACTCACAAGTTCATGTTGGCCTCACATTGTCTACCACCAATATCTGTCCTAGTCTGTCAAAGTTCATGTTGGCCCCGCTGGCAACAACAACTATGTTTTGATACTTTTGGTTGTAATGTTTGCAGTAGGCTTCTGCACCTGCTAGAGCAAGTGCACCTGCTGGCTCTAGAATGCTCCTTCTCTCCTCAAACATGTCCTTTATTGAGGCACAAATGGCGTCCCGGGTAACTAAGACAACCCCATCTATTAGATGCCTGCATAGACGAAATGTTTCTTCCCCGACCACTTTAACAGCCACGCCATCTGCAAAACCCCCCACTCGATCCAGCATTATTCTACGACCATGATGCAGGGACAAAGCCATGGCATTCGCGTTGTTTGGCTCAACTCCAATTATCTTCACGTCCGGATTCACCATCTTAACGTAGGCGGCGATGCCTGCAATGAGCCCACCCCCGCCAACGGGCACAAATATGGCATCTACGCCACATTTCGCCTGGCTCATGATTTCCTTCCCAACTGTGCCCTGTCCCATGATTACATGAGGGTGATCAAATGGGGGCACAAATGTGAGTCCTTCCTCTTGGGCCCTCTTTTTCGCATATGCTTGTGCTTCATCATATGTGTCCCCAACCCGGACAACGGTTGCCCCTAGTCTTTCTACTGATTCCCACTGCACACACATTTCAAAAAAATGACTAGACTAACTAATAACCAAATAAGAATAGAAGATTCAATAACACTAAACCTTGATCTCAGGTGTAGTAACGGGCATCACGATTACAGCGGTGCAACCGAGTTTCTTTGCAGCCAACGCAACGCCTTGAGCGTGATTGCCAGCAGACGAACATATGACTCCTCTGTCCAGAAGCCCCTTTGGGAGTCTGGCCATCATGTTATATGCTCCTCGAAGTTTGAATGAGAAGACCTGCCATTATTGAAGCCAGGAATATGCATACTCAATCAGTTTTATCTGGGCATGAATTTATACAACCTACCGAGAAGCCTTGTTTGGGAACACCATTTTTGGAATCTTGGCTTTACAGAGCAGTGGACATGATTACAGAACAAAGAAGTAAATTAAAAAGGACATGCATACAGGCTGAAGATCCTCTCGTTTGATCCAGATGTTGTTCCCCAGCTTCCGGGAGAGAATCGTGGCCAACTGCAGCGGGGACTCAAACGCCACATCGTAAACCTTAGCAGACAATATTCCGGTCAAATACTCGATGCCGCTGGGGCCAAGGGAGCCATTCTCGCCGGGGGGAGGCAGTTTCGGCAGAAGGCATCCCGGCTCTGAAGTGAGGGAGCTCGGAGAAACTAACGGCAGTTCATGAGAAGTGGCCGGAGATGTGGCGGACCAGACCTCCGTCGTCGCCGCCGCAGCTCTGGAGACCGCGGCGGAGATTGAAGAAGAAGCTCGGGGAGCTGTTCTCCTGACGCCGGCGGCGGAGGACTTGACGGGGTAATTGAACGTCGGCGGGGTAAAGATACTGCAATGGAAATGGGGCGATTGAGTATGGGGAAAACGAAGAGCTTCCATTGGCATGGAGAGAGTATTTGGGAGGACGGTGGGTTCTTCGTCTCCCTGCGCAAGAAGCCAATTTTATACGAGTATTCCTTCACAGAAAATGTATGGACATTCCATTTTTGATATTTCGTTCTAAATTTATAGCTTTTCTTAATTAAGTTTAGACTTAGGTTATAAGTATATTTAAATGTGAAATTTGCACTAAATAAGACTAAAACTTAACTCATTTCTTAATATAGGACTTAAAACGTTTTTATTCTCTAAATAGGGCTTAATAATGTGTAATGGGAAGAATAATGTCAGTAATGATGAACATTTAGTTGAATAATGACTACTCCGTAATTGATAATGACCAAAAGCACCTCATTGAGAAATAAAAACATATGGTAGAAAGTCATTATGTTTTAGTCCTATTTAGGTAAATTCTACTAGTTAAATTCTATGTTGTATGCTCGAACACACCACCGTTGTCTACAGCAATCATATACGGAGTATATAATTTTTATATATAGACGATAATTATATGTAATTATCGTCTGTGTATGTATAAAATTATATGTGAGAGCACGCTCTTGGATTTTAACATTGTTGTATTTCTTCCGTCCTAAAAAAATTCGTATTTTCTTTGTGGGACATCTCTAAAAAATACCTTCTTTTCACTCACAAGAATATAAAATTGGCCATGAGAAATAATTGGCTTCTTCGTCTCCCTGCGAGAAGCCAATTTTGTATTCTTCTCAGTCATAAAAAATGTATTGACGGTCCTTTTTGACATTTCATTCTAAATTTATAGTATTTCTTAATTAACTTTTTAGTTTATGTTATAAATATCATTAAATTTTAGGGACATAATGGGTAGATTGAAGGACACTATTGTGGAGAAGAGTACATCACAATATATATAGAAAATAGTACTACTACCACAATTAATATTGTCTAACATCTCCCCTCAAGCTGAACGTCGTGTCACGAACGGAAGCTTGGAAACAAGTGTTTGAAAACGTGGCTTTGGTAACGGTTTGGTTAGCAAATCTGCAAGTTGATCTTCAGAGAAGACATGAGACACATTCATAGTACCAGCAATGACCTGTTCCCGAACAAAGTGACAATCTGTACCCACATGCTTCATACGCTTGTGAAAAATTGGATTTTTTGTGAGACATATAGCCGATTGATTGTCACAAAATAGCTGAGGAGGAGCAATTGGTATACGCAAATCCTCTAGAACGTATGTGACCCACATGACTTCTGAGGCAGCAGAAGATAGAGCTCGATATTCAGCTTCGGTGGAGGATTTTGACACGCGAGACTGCTTTTCTGTACTCCATGAGATTAGGTTCGGCCCAAGATAAACTAGATAACCAGTGACAGAGCGTCCATCTGTCATATCATTTGCCCAATCGGAGTCAGAGTATGCCCGTAGCTGAAGATCACCAGACTGAAAAACAAGACCCCTATCAAGTGTCCCTTTAACAAAGCGCATAATCCTCTTCAAGCTCTGAAAATCATTTTCTGTTGGATTATGCATACGTTGACAAACATAATTGACTGCAAACTGAATGTC